GTTTGAATAAGTTTTTAAATCTTAAGTAGTTTGGATTGAAAAGTTTAATGTTCTTTAAAGAAACTCAAACTTTGTGTGGGTGGAGCAATATATAAATTTTGTGTGGTTGGAAAGTTAAGACATGAAACTTTTAGTGGAAACGTGAATAGATCATCCAACTTATTTTGTATGTTAAGAACGATTAGATGAATTTGACTCAACTTATTTTATTTTTCAATATATTTTTATATATTTTTATTTTCTATTAATAATATATGTTGTTATTTACAAATTATTTTTGTTTTGCCGTTTCTTATTCCCATTTCTGTATTTTCATCTATCCCGTATATATTTCGATGCAACAAGAGAAACAGCAATATATATATATATATATATATATATATACTAGGTGTTTTGTCCGCACATGCGGACTTAATCATATTACAATATTTATAATCACATTTATTATTAAGATTTATAAAATTGGATCTCTTATTTGATTATTATTTTTATATCTTTTATTTCTTATTTTTAAATTTTCAAAATTAAAATACTTTTCAGATAATAACATTATGTAGGAAACTGCTTTTTATTTGTTTTTATTTTTATTTAATTTACATATTAATTCATATTCAGTTATCCGATAAAAGCACTCTAACTTTTAACATGAGAGTTCAAATGTAACATTTTACTTTACTAATAATAGTATTACAATTTAGAAAATTTTATTTTTGTACTTAAATAATGTTTCATCTTTTATTTCTTATCTTTTTATGTTTAAAATTTTATTTCAGATAATAACCAAATATATGTAGGAATTATATTAAAAAATAATATATACGTTTTGATAATTTTATTCTATTAATTTAAAATAATTCTCTGATAACAACTGCATATATGTAGAAATTATCTTTTTTAAAATGAATATATATATTGATAATTTTACTATGTTATTTTATAATAGTTATCCAACATTTCATATAAATCTAATAATATTAATACAAATTTCGGTTTAAATATTAGAATACTGTATATAATTATTCACTAAGATTAATATTGATATTAGTTGCTCTAATTTTTAACGTGAGAGTTCAAAGGTTAAAAATTATTTCGCAAATAAGAGTATAGATTTTTATATATCTCAATTTTGTATTTCTATAGTAGAAAATATATTTTCAAAATAACAATTTAATACAAAATAATTATCTTATTTTCTAAAAATATCATCTTATTAATATAAATTTGTTTTATTATGTAATAAATTATATATTAAAATATTAAAAATATGAAAATAAGAAAAATTGCCTAAAATGAAGGAGAAGTTGACAACTAAGCAAATTTAATTCTCAAATAATAATGATAAAAATTATTTCGCAAATAATATTATAGATTTTTATATATCTCAATTTCGTCTAAAAATATCATCTTATTAATATAAATTCGTTTTATTATATAATTATATCTGAAAATATTAAAAATATGAAAATAAGTAAAATTACCTAAAATCAAGGAGAAGCTGACAGCTAAGCATAATATAGATATATATTATATATATATATATATATATATATATTAAATTTAATTTAAGACAAAAAAAAATTGTTAACATCAGATGCAGAAACTATAAAGAGAGCAAGTTCTTTATAGTTTCTGAGATTTTCGAATCACTTTATATACAAGTATATTTAATAGAGAAATTAGTATTTAAGAAAATGGAATGGCAGATTTTGCATAGTGATTTTCGAGTATTTTTTTTTCTGTGTGGCATATTATTTTTCTATATGAAACCTATTTAACAATGAGTTATTCTTGGATTCACTCTTTCTGGTGAACATCTAAATTCTCTAATAAATAAAAATTGTATTATTACATATTTATTATCTTTTAAAAAAGGAAACAAAATAGTGTCAAATTATATTATGTTTTTAAAATAAATAAAATAAATAATAACTGTTGTAAAAATATAATTTTTTCCTTTTTTTAACATTTTTATGGCTGTCAGCAAAACACTAAACCATAAATACTAAATCCTTGGGTAAATTCTAGTTCCTTGGATAAATCCTAAATCAAAAACATTAAACATTAAATCTTAAAAATACTAAATCCTTAATTCTAACCCCTAAACCCTTGGATAAATTGTAAACCCTAGGGTTTATAGTTTATCTAAGGGATTAGAGTTTAGTATGTATTCAGGGTTTCGTGTTTTGTTGACGGTGTTAAAAATATTTATTTATTTTTATCCAAAGGTATAGGGGTTAGGATTAAGGATTTAGTGTTTTTTTTTAATTTAGTATTTAGTGTTTTTTATTTAGTTTTTAAGATTTATTAAAGAGTTTATGGTTTATCCAAGGATTTATAGTTTACCTAAAAGTTTAGGGTTTACCCAAGGATTTAGAGTTTAGGATTTAGGGTTTAGTGTTATGCTAACGGCGTTAAAAATGTTAAAAAGGAGAATTTTTTGAAAAAATATTAGTATTTTATTTATTTTTATTTTAAAAACGTAATATAAGTTGACTATATTTTATTTCTTTTTTATAAAACTATAAAATATGTAATAACACAACTCTATTGGTTAGGTTCACCCAAGGAGAAGAACCCAAAAATAACTTTTTAGCCATTAGTCTTTCAGTATTGTAGTTGTTAGACGCTAAACTAAGCGTGTATAATGTCTAAATTTTTGTTTTATAACATCTCAACTCTATTGATATCAAATCAATAATATAGATTACAGGAAACATAAATTACAACAAATAGGTTGTTAAGAAAAACATATAATTGAAGCAAGAATAACACGATACTTCCTAATGCATTTGTATATTAGGTTGATTCGCTAGCATTCATTCATTAACTTCGTTATTGGTCTTGTAAAATTTTTATTATGACTCTAAATTCTTATGAGTAAATGACTTTTATAAGGAGATCATTGGATGCGATCCATCTGATATATTGTAATATGTCTCAAACACTCTTGTTGCAGGATATAACATGCTTTGTATCTGTGGCATTGAATTTATTTTTTAAACCGATAAAGGAATATCTTCAATTTTTTTTTTGTACTAACATTGGTGAAACCCTTTTTGATTTAAATTCTAGTAATTTCGCTCTTTCATTCTTCAATTTCACAGTCAAACTCACATGATCTTGAATGGAGGCGGATCGAGTAAACAAAGGGAATATCACCTGATATCTTACAGTCCCAGACATGAACCTCCGGTTTAATCCAATGAGTACATACCATAACTTCAAAACCAAATGTAGAAAGTGAATCGATCTCTTGGAATTGCCTGGCCATGGCAGTTTTTGATGTTGATTATGTGTGTGATCGAGTTGAGATCCTCGAGAAATTATACAAACTTCTAACATGTACAAGGGATGGTCATCGATACTGTAACTCCTTACTAGGAATGCCAACACCGGAGAATAACACTCCATTGGGAGAAGAGGCACATGCCAACACTTGACGACAATCCAGGCACATGTCAGACAGTGTAATCGTTTACAAATTACAACAATTTAATATTTTTATTTACAAAAAATAAGATTTAAATTATTTTGTTTTTATAAAATATTCTATTATAACTTACTAATTACTTTAATTTATAAATCGCAATATAATAAATAAGCAAAGTATTTATCATATTAATATAATAACTGTTTAAACGGTTTCGAAAGTAATCAATACTGTTTTTTGAAATTAAGTAATCAATACTGGTTTATAAAGTATAGCATCTAAACTGCCTAAATGGCCACCTAAAATGCTTTTTAGAACAGTGGTATTGATAATGTATGTTCTATTGTTATTTATTTATGAGAGTGATATATACAATGAACATTTTATATGTTCGAGTGTACAATGAATCACATCTTTGATTAAGCAAAACTAATAATATTACTCATATTTTGCATTAAAATATTCGAGAAGATATGTAGCAGTATTATTAAACGAAAATAATGTTATTTATCGTTGTTTTAATCAAACTTTTGATGACTATAAGAAGGGCCATTCCACTTGGTTTCTTCCTGCATCAAACAAGTAACTCTTCATCATTCACCAAATAATGTATCTAGAGAGAGAAACAAAATATTCTATCTAGGAACAGATACATACATACGTAAGTAAATAAACAAGTTTGCGTCTATCTCTCAAATAAAGAAAGAAAATGAAGGGATGGGAGAAACAATGTGGGAAAGTGGATAAACTGAAGCCAATAATAGCGATAATATCACTCCAATTTGGATATGCAGGCATGTACATCATTACAATGGTTTCCTTCAAGCATGGCATGAACCATTGGGTCCTTGCTACCTACCGACATGTCGTCGCCACCATCGTCATGGCTCCTTTTGCTCTCATTCTCGAAAGGTATGTATATTTCGAGTCTAAAACGAGACAATAAAATTGTCACCTTACGGTAATATAAAACTAAAACACGAAGTTGTTAAAACACCACAAATTTCCACACAAATATATATATCTTGATAACTAACTAAGTTTCACTCTATAAAAGAACCATTTTTCAAATTATTTCAACCTGCAAAATTTTCATAATTAAAGTTGTATTTATACGTGTGAACTTCAGTCGATTCCATGTTCATATATATATATATATATTTATATATATATATATATATATATATATATATATATATATATATATATATATATATATATATCTTGATAACTAACTAAGTTCCACTCTATAAAAGAACCAATTTTGAAATTTTTTCTCCCTGCAAAATTTTCATAATTAAAGTTGTTTTTATACGTGTGTACTTCAGTCGATTCCATGTTCACACCGTGAATATATGCATGGTTTTGTTATATGATCTAGAGCCTTGAAAGCTATATATGAATCTAAGTGTATCTATATTTATTTTTATTTTTATTTTAACACATGTGTATCTATATTAATTTATGGTTTATATATTATTTCTACTTCTCAGGAAAGTAAGGCCTAAGATGACATGGCCGTTGTTCCTTAGGATCCTTGCCCTCGGAATCCTAGAGTAAGCTCCGTATACAAACACCGTTATTCCCCTTTTCACATATTAGCTTATGCAGAGATATATAATAGTATTTTTACAAAAAAAGAAGAAGATATATAATAGTATAGATTAAATGATACATTTATATTTTTAAACATAGGTACGATCTTGCTGTGTTTTCTTTCCTATAGAAGATATCTTATTTCGTATTAAAACGTCTATATTAGAACATGTGCATTGAAGGTATAAGAAAGGGTTCAAGAGAAAACTTTCACATTTCCCAAAAAAGAAAATTATAATAATTGCCCATGATGAACTCGACTCACCTGAGCTCTTCCTGATGAACTCGTATCACTATTGTTTCACAGGTTCTATGCCACGTGACGGCCCACGATTAATCTGATATTTTTTATTTTTTATTTAAAAAAACAAACAAAAAAAAATTATTTTTTGAAAATTTTTGTGAACCTCTTCCCCCATAAGTTCATTGATGGGAGTGCTCTTAGATGTTTATCAGGTTATCCCTCTCAATCGATTAAGAAAAAATTATACATAAGCCAAGCTAAAATATTTAAAGGTGTATATTTACGAGTGAGTAGATGATTTGCCCCTTAGATGAAGCCCATGGATAGGTATCCACCATCTACGAAAATTACTGTAAAACTTATTTGTCCGTTAAAAATGTTTTAAGTAGTAAAAATACGTCTTATTTTCTGTAGACCTTGGAGATTAGTCCGAGCTATACTGATTTAAAAGAAAAGGAAAAAAAATATTAGATGAATATTCATACCAAGAGATTCACTCGCGAATATTATTTGCTGAGATCATCACCCATTGCCGTCTTCTCATAGCTATGCGTATCTTTAAAGAGAATGGTATGAAGAAAAATAAATCTGATAATGGTGGAAAATATAAGTATATGACTAAAGTATACAAGAATAATAAATTGACAAGTTGTAAATGTTGGTTGTCTATTCAGACCACTTCTGGACCAGAACCTCTACTACATAGGAATGAAAGCCACATCAGCAACGTACAGTTCTGCCTTTGTTAATGCACTTCCCGCCGCCACCTTCATAATGGCCGTCATTTTCAGGTACTTTTTCCTAGAGCATCTTTATCGGCGAAATTCTAATTCCAGAGTTCTAAAAAAAAATATATATATATATATTAATATTTAGTTAAAGTATTTTTAGTTTTACAGAGATCCAACCAAAAAATATGTGTAAAAAACTTTGTGGTTAGATTTTTCATAAAGTTAAAAATTTCTTAATTAAATACTAATATTAATATATATATTGAGAACTCCGAAAGATATAATTCCCTATTGTGGATCCTCGAATTACCAAACCAATCAAATAAATAGTTTCTACTTTTTTTTGGGTCAAATAAATAGTTTCTACTTTTATTACTTACTTTTACCACTAATCTGATATGTAATCACACAAACGATGATAATTGGTACTAAACTACTAATGTATTACCACCATTTTTGTACGTATATTCTATTTTACTTCTTCTAAATATTATTTCTTGCTCCAATAGAAGTTCTTAGCGTTTTGTACACCAATTGATTCGGTATTTACTAACAAAACGTTTTTTCAAAATATTATTTATTAGAAAAAACTTCGGAATTTTATGTTAACTAGCAAAAAAAAAAATCATAATTTTATTGTTACTGATGATTATAAATCTTCCTTGCATAATCAGGTTAGAAACTGTGAATTTGAAGAAGATACGTAGTCTTGCAAAGGTGATTGGAACAGCAATAACCGTGGGTGGGGCGATGGTAATGACGTTATACAAAGGTCCAGCCATCGAACTCATCAAGGCCGCTCATACCTCTATTCACGGCGGTTCCTCCTCCGAAACCACCGACCAGCACTGGATTACGGGAACCTTGGCTCTAATGGGTAGTATCATCAGTTGGGCAGGTTTCTTCATTTTACAAGTAAACATTATTTACTTTTGTTAAGATCCAACTTTGTTTCTGTTTTTACATTTCCGTATACGTTTTCATGTCATGATATTCTAATCATTCTAATATAAAAACGAAAAAGAAAAAACAAACTATTGGTAGAGTCTATGGATTGAGTCACAGCTCCATTACGACAATAAAGTGTCCAGAAAAAAAAATACTAAATATTTGAAGCTAATCCATGTTTGGGGACATAAAATTTGAATGAGTATTTTGAAAACATGAATATTGTAAAACTTTCAGTCATTCACTTTGAAAAAATATCCGGCGGAGCTATCACTAGTGATGTGGATATGCGGCATGGGGACGATATTAAACACCGCTGCTTCCCTGGTAATGGTACGTGACATGAGAGCATGGAAAATTGGCATGGATTCGGGCACGCTCGCAGCTGTTTACTCGGTAAGTATTTCACCACTTTACGAATTATCATTCACTTGTGTATATATTATTATGCGATAGAGGTTAAATATAATGGTAAATTTCAGGGAGTGGTTTGTTCGGGCATGGCGTATTACATACAAAGCATTGTGATTAGAGAACGAGGCCCAGTATTTACGACGTCATTTAGTCCCATGTGTATGATCATCACTGCATTCCTTGGCACTTTAGTTTTGGCCGAAAAGATCCATCTAGGAAGGTTAATATAAAATTCATGACTTTACTAACGATTCTTTGGTCATGAAACAGAGACAGTATTGGAACAAACAGCTAGCTTACATGTAGTTAATTATTCGTTTGATTCTGTATATGCAGTATAATTGGGGCAGTTTTCATCGTCTTTGGGCTATATAGCGTCGTTTGGGGAAAAGCTAAGGACGAAGTGATTTCAACGGAGGAGAAAATAGGAATGCAGGAGCTGCCGATCACTAACATTATATCAACGGATGGTGGTGGTATATCTTGTGCTCCTAACAAAAGTGTGGCTAATAGTACTTGATTGCAGCCCCCATGAAGCAATCAAAGAAACAAAAAACAGTCAATTGCTCTCAATTTTTGAACACCAAATTTCCATGAAGGAAATTTCTTTATCTTTCTTTCGTTCTTGTTTTATTTTTATGTTATTTACGTTTCCAAGTTTGTTGGTGTTTATTTTTAAATTATATGGTGATAATAACTTATGTGTTTCTAGAATATCAAAGTTAATGAAAAAATAAAACTTGGTCAGTTTACTAAATACAACAAACGTGGTTTAGTTTTGAAGTAAAATGTAACTAGGTAGACCTACTTCCTAGACGCCAGTTATAATAAAGTCTTTCAAGCTTCTTTGGAACCCTTTGAAAGTAAATATGGTGTTGAAAAGTTTCTTTGACTATTCACAATTTAAATGTTCACAGTTGACATGGATATTATGAAAATTTAATGGAACTTTATATTGGATCTGATAAATCTAGGTCAGCTTTCTTTCCAAGTATGAGAAAGATTTGGAATTCACTATCTGAAATAATCGCTTAAGAAGCGTTAAGCTTCTGGCCTAAATTAACAAGTATTTTTTTTTTTGTGTGAATTCACTAGCTGAAATAGCCGCTAAGAAGCGTTAGCTACTGGCCTAAATTAACAAGTATTTCGTTTTTGTTGGCACACATAATCCATACCGTTTCTTGGTACAAAAGATTATTCTGTTACTCATAGTTGGTGATTCGAAATTTTGTTTTTTCTGATAATGACCAAAACATTTTTGATAGAAAAGATAAAAAAAAACATATTTACAAGAATAGGCTTGCATCAAAGTAAAAGACGTGTGTATCTTATTGTGATCTATAAACAGGCCGGACCATGAGAAAGTTCAAAAAAATTGAGTTAGAAACTTAAAAAACTTGTTACTTCAAAAAAAATAACTAAAAATTTAAAATAGTTTTGAAAGGAACCGAACTTGTTACCTTTACTTTGACAACTAGAACTTTAATCAAGTAAGCTACTGGATATAATTTAAATTGGCCGAAATGTTATATTTTTATATATGTCGGAAGCATTTCTTCCACGGCTTCTACCTAAGACCATTATTACACCTAAAGTCATTGTAAATTATATAAACAATTTCGGTTACATGTATGTGGATTAAAGATGGGAAAATTGCGTATTTGTTGAAGTATTGTGTTCCTAATCAGTCCACAGGGATCCGGTTCAATCAAGTCTATGAGATTGAGGATGCGGTTAAGCACAAACCAAGTAAACACGTGAGGAGCACGTGGAGCAACTTGTATACGAGTTATAAGTAATACTCGTATTAATCTCTTAATGTTGTAAGCTGATTGTGATATAACAGCAAAGAGAGAGAAACCTAGAGATAAGATAGAGAGAGAGTGGGCGAGAAGAAGGATCACCATTGTTGTATCTCGAGAGCTCGATTTGAGCTAAGATCTCTTTCCAGTGCAGTTGCTGGTTCGATCCAGCTCCGGATATATATATATAGCGGCTCTCTCACATTGAGAGAGTGCGGTGAACTCCGGGTCACCAAATCCCGTGTTGTTTCTTTACGTTTTCATAACAAGATTAGATCGATCATTCGAAGAAGTTTAAAGAATCAAGTACTAGCTCAGATCTCAACAGAAGTGGTATCAAAAGCCAGGTTCGCGAGCTAGCGAATCTGCGGTGGTGATTCTATTCAAGATCAATCGAAGATGAAAGGGACGAAGTGCGAGATCGAACGGTTCGATGGTGATGGCGATTTCTCGCTGTGGAAGAGGTGGATGTACGCTTGTCTTAGCGCCTCCGGATTGAAGGTTGTACTCATCGAGAAGACACAGAAGACGCAGATCGAAGATGAATCTGATGAAGAGGAGAAAGATCCTGAGAAGAAAAAGAAAGTCGTCGAAGAAGAGGTTGGAAGATCTGAAAGATGCGAAAAAATTATGAAGATCGTTTTCTTGAATGTGGGAGATCACGTTCTTCGGAAGATCGAGCGATGCACTACTGCATCAGAAACTTGGGCAATGTTAGAAAAGCTTTACATGCCCAAGTCTCTGCCAAATAGAGTGCATGGGAAATTGAGACTTTACAGTTTCAGGATGCAAGAAAGCAAGACGATCGATGACAATATGGATGAGTTCCTAAAGATTATAGGAGATTTGAGTAACCTCAGTATCGAAGTTCAAGAGGAGGTTCAAGCTATACTTCTCCTTAACTCCTTACCGTCAAAGTACGATCAGCTGAAGGAGACTCTCAAATATGGTAGATATGTCATCAAGGTAGATGAGGTTGCAAGTTCAGCCTGGTCCAAAGAGAAAGAATTGAAAGAGGTCATGGGATCCAGAAGCAGTCCAGAAGGTCATTTTGCTAGGGGAAGGTCAGAAAACAGGAATTCTCAGAGCAGCTATGGAAGGAAGAAGAGCTTCAGGTCACAGTCTAAGTCAACTGAAAGAAAGAAGATATGTTGGATTTGCGGAAAAAAGGCACTACAAGAAGCATTGCTACAGTGGCTTGAGAAAAATAAGCATCGTAACCAGTCTGATAGAGGTGAGTCATCTGTTGTGAAGGATGATGCTCATGATCTAGTTGGGCTGAAAGCTGCAGAGGTAAACATGTCACAAATTGTAGACGACAAAGATGAGTGGACTTTGGATACAGGCTGTTCTTTTCACATGACACCGAGAAGGGACTTCTTTATAGAGCTACATGAGCTGACGGCAGGAAAGGTTATGATGGCTAACAATTCCATCACCGCGATCAAAGGAATAGGCTCATTCATATATCATAATCCACACGGCAGTACTTTTGTTCTTCATGATGTCAAATACATGCCAGAAATTGGGAGAAACCTAATTTCTCTAGGGACATTAGAAGATAGAGGGTGTGAGTTCAAAGCTTCTAATGATATTCTGAAGGTTATCAAGGGATGTACACTGGTCATGAGAGGGTACATAAAGGGTTCAGACACACTGTATTTCTTGAGAGGTATTGCAAAAAGGTCAGAGAATTGCTTGATTGGTTCGTTTGGAATGGCTCCTGGTTCGTCGGATAAGGATCAGACACAATTATGGCATAGTCGTCTTATTCATGTGGGACAGAAGAGAATTGCTATGTTAGTAAAGAAAGGCTGTCTTCCGGGTGATCGAGTTACCACAGTGAAGTTCTGTGAGGATTGTGTCATTGGGAAAACACACAAGATTAGTTTTGGTCCAGCTCAACATCTGACAAAGGAGAGGCTAGACTACACCCACTCGGATCTATGGGGATCACCCAATGTTCCCATGAGTCTCAGAAAGTGTCAGTATTTCATATCGTTTACGGATGACTGGTCTAGGAAGGTGTGGGTGTATTTTCTGAAGACAAAGGATGAAGCATTTCAACATTTTGTTGAGTGGAAAAAGATGGCAGAAGTTCAAGTTGAGAAGAAGGTAAAGAAGCTGCGTACAGACAATGGGTTAGAATTCTTCAACTTGAGGTTTGATCAGTATTGTAGAGATGAGGGCCTTGTCAGGCATCGTACTTGTACCTATACTCACCAACAAAATAGAGTAGCAGAGAGGTTAAATAGGTCTATCTTGAACAAGGTCCGCAGCATGTTGAGCGAGAGTGGGTTGACATCGAAGTTCTGGGCTGAAGCTGTCGCAACAGCAGTTTATCTTCTGAACATAACTCCATCTTCAGTCATTGATTTTGAGATTCCAAAGGAAAGGTGGACAACACAGGTTCCAGACATAATAGTGCTTAGGAGATTTGGGTGTATTGCATATATTCACACGGATGATGGGAAGTTGAATCCAAGATCCAAGAAAGAAGTCTTCACAGGGTATCAAGATGTAGTAAAAGGGTTCAGGATTTGGTTACTAGATGAGCAGAGATGCGTTGTCAGCCGCAACGTGGTCTTCATAGAAGATCAAATGTTCAAAGCTTGAAACTCACCAATAACTCAAGTATGGACTCTAACCCTATAAATTCTACTAATAAAACCTTGAATTTTGATTTTGTAGGAACAGATGTAGACGAGGATGCACAAGGTCAAGGTGGAGCTTCACAGAAAGAAACTCAGGCACCTTCTACGGATGCTCAAACACAACAAGATGTAGAAGGAACAGAAGAAGCCACTGAGACTGAAGCTCATGGAGATTATCAACTAGCAAGGGACAGAACAAGAAGAGTTCTTAAGCCACCAGCGAAGCTCCAATATTACCATGTGTATCCTGAAGATGAAGATATAGCAGGATATGTTTATTTGATGTCTGAGTCTGTTGATAAGGGAGAACCAAGGAGTTTAAGAGAGTCAATGCAGGGTCCAGACAGTGATAAATGGACAGAAGCGTCAGATGACAAGATGAATTCATTGACGAAGAATGGGACTTGGGTTCTAGTGGATCGAAATAAAGACCAGAGGCCTATAGGATGCAAATGGCTATACAAGAAGAAAGAAGGTGTCACCAAGGAAGATGGTCCCAGGTTTAAAGCAAGGTTAGTTGCGAAGGGTTATTCCTAGAAGGAGGGCATCGACTACCATGAAATTTTCTCTTTAGTGGCCAAGTTGGTGTCAATTTGGATCATCTTGTCTGTAGTAGTCCATTTTGACATGGAGCTGCAACAGATGGACGTAAAGACCGCATTCCTCCATGGATATTTGGAAGAGACCATCTACATGGAGCAGCCAGAGGGTTATGAAGATAAGAAGCATCCAGAAAAGGTGTCTTTGCTGAAGCGTTCATTGTACGGGTTAAAGCAGTGTCCGCGTCAGTGGAATCAATGGTTTGATCAGTTCATGTTGAAGAATAGCTACATTAGAAGTGAGTTTGATAGCTGTATGTACTTCAAGAAGCTTAAGAATGGAGAGTTGGTGTATATGTAGATGACATCCTCATAGCATCAAGAGATCATCAACATCTAAGAGAACTAAAGGTGCTGTTAAACTCGGAATTTGAGATGAAGGATCTCGGTGAAGCTAAGAAGATTTTGGGTATGGAAATTCACAGAGATCGAAGTAAAGGTGTGTTAACAGTGTCTCAAGAATGATATATATTGAAGGTATTAGGAAATTTTGGAATGGAACAAGTTAAAGCAGTCAGCACTCCGTTGGGAACTCACTTTGATTTAGGGCTACTACGAAAGCAGAATTGAGAGATCAGGCCGAAGCAAAGAAGAAGGTTCATTATCAGAGTGCAGTGGGGAGTCTTATGTACTCCATGATATGTACGCGTCCAGATATGGCCTTTGCAGGGTCTAGTCTGCAGATACGAGTAAATCGGTGAAAGAGCATTGGCTAGCAGTCAAGTGGT